TATACAGTAAAATCCAACATTATCGTTTTACATTGTCATTTTAAAGAGGTAAGGCGAAGGAAACGTATAAATATGTTATTGAGAAAAAGGGATATTGTAACCTTGAAATTGTTGGCAATAAGCGAAGTGACAAATAAAACAATAGGCGTTAAACCGAGGTTTCTCCCAGCATATTGTATCACACAAACTTTTCAATTTTGTAATTACAAGATCTGTATTTTGTTTATTAAAAATAGGTTTTTACACAACCTCCAAGAGACATTTATTACTTAGCAATTAACTATCATTTTGAAGATTGAAAAGTGTTATTAAGTTAAACTTAAAATAACAACTATAATTTGTATGTCCCCGCCCTAAAATGGGGTCATATAGTGTTACCCATGCCCGTCCCGTCCCGTCCCGTCCCGTCACGTCGCGTCGCGTCCCGTCCCGTCCCGTCCCGTCCCGATTCAATGTAAATACTTATCAACTTCATTCTTTGACAGGTTTTGGTCAAACTTTATATAAAGGTCAAGTATGATTATACTTCGGACATCATTGTATTTCAGGGATCCAAGGTCAATTTCAAGGTCACACTTGCTGTATATAGAAATTCGTCCCGTCCCGTCCCGACTCAATGTAAACACTTAGCAACTTCATTCTTTCATCGATTTTGGTCAAACTTTATGCAAAGGTCAAGTATGAGTATACTACGGACATTGTTGTGTTTCAGGGTTCAAAGGGCAAGCCAAGGTCACTGTTGCTATATATAGAAAATCATCTACTGATTCAATTTAAACACTTGCAACTTCATTCAATATGTTATGGAGATGATAATAACATACAGAAAAAAACATATGAATATTAAAATCAACTTTAAGTGTAGTACCTTGTGTGTGTGCATGTTTCAGGGTATCAAGATTAAAGTGGTTGTAACTTTTTTAGAACACTGAAACTAATTTCACATGTCAGAATTACAGACGGCTAATTCTTCAGATTAGTGAATTTGCGACTGTGGTTAATGTAGTAAATAACTATCCTTATAAAAGGTTTTAAATTTATCTATCCAATACAGGTAAGTACACATGAGATATATTGGACAGAACTTCCTGTTCTTTGGACTAGTAGCAGGTTCAGTACCCTGATAATGGTACATAATGATATAAATATATCAGCGTTTCATCATGTGATCGACATGATATTGAGTATGTACTGATACGCTACAAACGCTTGTTCATTTTGTTATCTAGCAGTAGATAAACTTTTCAAACGTCCGCTATAAGCCATACATAAACACATTTTAATAATATGTGTGCATAAATATATATATTTATATATATATATATACCATATAGTGACAATTCGTAATTCAAAGTCGAAATTCAAAAACAAAAGTATGCACTGAGAAGACTCAAAAGCAAAATACTCGTATATCAATATTACCTGTGCCACTTTAGTTGAAACCTGGTAATCATGACATATCCTGTAGAGCAAAGGAAATGTTGTCAGCAGCAACCTATCTACGTCACAGTGAGCATACGCGTCTTGTATGACGACGGTGCCAACTATTGGTGGGGCTACACAACAGCTAGGGTCAGATGACGACGGTATCTACTATTGTTGGGCCAAACAACAGCTAGGGTCAAGCATTTATAACAAATCATCCTTCATGATTTAAATGTGTCCCAATTGTACAACAGAGTGCAATAAGAAACACTATTAGAACAAATAATCACACTAAAGGTTATCATTTTAATCGCAGATATACATGTATTCAAATGTATGTGGTTTTCGATTCGCAAAGAAATCTGAGCGTGGGCAGGCTATTTTAATTTCATTTAGATAATACTTTAAAAACTATGAAAAAAATAAAAAGCCCAGGCTCCGATGGGTATACAGTAAAAACATCGACAATATCTTAAAAATTGGAGACCAATTTCTTTACTTAATATTATTTATAAAATTGCATCAGGATCAATAGCAAGCAGAATAAAAACAGTTTTAAATAAAATAATTAATATAGATCAAACAGGATTTATTGCAGGGCGCTATAATAAGGAACACAATCGAATTGTATATGATATCATGCAATATGCAGAAGATAGAAATATACCTGGAATGTTGTTGATCATTTATTTTGAAAAAGCTTTTGATTTTGTTTCTTGGAAGTTTATTGATGAAGTTCTGGATTATTTCAATTTTGGGGAAGATATAAAAAAGTGGGTATAAATTCTACAAAACAAGTCAAGTTCAGCTATTAATCAAGGGGGAAATTTGTCTCCATTTTTCGAAATTGAAAGAGGCTGTAGGCAGGGGGACCCCATCGCACCATATCTATTTATAATGTGTGCTGAAAATTTAGCTATTAAAATATGGAACAATCAAATGTATAAAAGGTATTGATATTGATAATAGTCCTATTTTACTGTCTCAATATGCGGATGACACTTCACTGATTTTAGATGGAATAGAGAGATCACTTAAAGAATCAATTGATGAACTAAAACCTTTTGCAAAAATATCTGAATTAAAAATGAATGTTTTAAAACACAGGCTATTTGGATTGGGAGTAAAATATATAGTGATGAAGTTGTGTACCCTGTATTGAATAAACAGTGGGGAAATCAAACATTTATACTTTTAGGCATTGAGTTTCATGTTGACCTACACCGAATACCTAAACTGAATTATGATAAAAAAAACTAGTTAAGATAAAGACCATTATTAGGACTTGGGAAAGAAGAATTTTGACTCCAATAGGTAGAATCCATATTATAAAGGCACTATTAATTTCTCAGTTTAATCATCTCTTTATCTCTTTACCAAACCCAGATGAAAATTCCTGAAAAAGTTAAACACAGAACTGTACTGTTCTTTGTGGAAAAGTAAAATAGATAAAGTGAAAAGGGATATAACTGTTAAAAATTACATTGACGGAGGTATAAAAAAAATTACATGTAAAGTTTTTCATTGAATCTCTAAAATTAACGTGGTTAAGGAGACTCTACACAAGTCCAAGTAAATGGCAAATTATTCTAAGAACTTCTGTTGATGATCATATTTTGGCTAACTGTGGAACTGAGTATATTTTGATATGTCACAATAACTGTAAGAATTTATTTTAGAAAGATGTTTTTGAGGCATGGATAAACTTATCAATAAACACTATTCTTATCAATCTCAAGATAAATTGGCCGAAACACCAATATGGTATAATAATGTAATTAAAGTAGTATTTTTTATCGGGATTGGTACTATAAAGGAATTATTATTATTAGAGACTTGATTAATAAAGACACTAATTTGTTTTACTCTTTTCAGGAATTTCAACAGGTCTTTGGTATAAATACAAACTTTCTTAATTACCAAGGACTTATTTGAGCTATTCGAAAACATATACAGAAACAAGTTTTACCATGTCCTATCTATCCTTGATACCAATTAATCTAGAAATACTTTTTGTACAGGAAAAAAGGGACACAAGATTTTTATTTACTCAATAATAAAAATAATACAATATCCACTAGAAGAAAACAATGGGATGATGTTTTTAATTTTGATAATGAAACATGGAAGAAAATATATAAAATGCCTTTTCATATAACCAAAAATTCAAAATTACAGTGGCTTCAATATAGAATCAATCAACACATTTTGACAACAAACACATTCTAATTTAAGGCAGGAATAGCTGATAGTCCTTATTGTAACTCATGTAAAACTGATTTTGAAACAATAGAACATACCTTATGGGTCCAAATTATGTTACAACATTTTGAGGTTTTTTTTAGATGCTTTAATGATCCCTTTTGCTTACAATAAAGAGACTTTTATCTTTGGACTATAAACTCAAGATGGAATAAGAACACCAATAGACAGTACAATTATTTTGATTATGAAACAATATATTTATTCAGCAATATGCCTAAAAACAAATTTATCTATAAATGGTCTTAAAAAAGCAATCAAGAACAACTATACTACACAAAAATATATTGCAACAGGTAAAGATGACAAATATAATAACACTTTTAAAAATAATTGGAAAAAATGGCAAAAGTAAATTAATATCTCCTGAATCTTCAATTTGCTGAACTTTATTTTAAGAATACGGTTTACAGTTATAATATGATCTATTATTGGACACTAGTATATGAGTTGTTTTGTATCCATTTTTCCTATCCATAAGACATCAAAATATTTTGTTTAGCTAATTACTATACATATATTGATATTTGGAGCTGACAACACATGCTCTTTACTCCCTCCTGTTTTCATATACTAGTCATACATATAGATATATAGATATTTATTACTGATTGCCTGACATCTCTCTCTCTCTCTCTCTCTCTCTCTCTCTCTCTCTCTCTCTCTCTCTCTCTCTCTGTTTTGTCCTTGTCTTTTTTTCATCCCCTGTCTATTTTTCTAAGAAAATAAATAAAATGACAATCAATAATTGTGTGTGTGAAAGTGGAAGCGAGATTAGTGTGTGTGAGATTTTCAAGTATTACAAATGTACTTTCCATTGTATAAAACAAAATCTGAAAATAAAAATACATTTTTTTTTTGAGATAATGCATCTCTCTGATCACTTTACTCTTTGATGCGAAATACATCCCTTGCATATTATTTCACATTATGCAAATGAAGCTTAACCTTTGATCTAATTTTGCATTGTGTTTGTCAGCAATAACGCTTTTCCTTAACACAACCACGTACAGAAAAACAAGTTAATGCAATCACCGTCTTCAAAGCGCAATGCACATTCACAAGTACGTGCCGAGTATCTTATCCCTTGCTGAGCATGCACTATACATGTTACAACATATTGATGTGGTCCAATGCTGACAACTAAATAACTTTAAAACAATATGCGACATTTTCTAACGGGTTTAATTTCTGTGATCAATCAACGATGTGTTTCTCGTACATGTAAGTGATGACCTGCTCTTTATAGACTTCCGTTTCTAACAGTATAAATAGTGGCTGTCTTCTGGTTTCAAATTACCATATCTCCTTCTTCCCTCCGACATCAGCAGATTTCCTAGCCTGTTCTTCAAGGTACGACTATCATTTCATTTCAGAATACCTCGTTTTGTGTCCTTTTTTAAGTGTATTTTCGGATTATCTTATTGCCGATTTGTGTCGACTAACAGTTCTGGATTTGTCGTATGTGCTGACGTTTTGGTACACTTTTGTCTGTTTTACTATTAAGCCGTCGTCTTGTTATCTGTTTGAGTCTCATAATATCAAGGTGGCAAGTGCTTGTAATTTCTCAGATTGGTGTTTTAAACCTCTTTTATAATAAAGAAATATATTACTCTCTAATTATTGTACTTAATGTTCGAGGGATGACAGACAAACGTCATAATCAACACTATCAGAAATGTGCCAAAGCATCCTTATCAACATCTCTTAAAGTATCTTCATAATTGATTCCGTTTAGCTCCTCCTTGTGAGTATTTTGTACGTAGTGAAATACATAAGAATAACGCTATGGTCTCTACAGCATAACTTTGGAGCGATAGACAATGCTAGCTACAGTAGCTCCAAATTGACCATGTAAAGTTAAACATTTTTATGTAAAGTTAAAATGTATCATGTGAATTTATCGCAATTTAAAATGCATAACGTTGTCTTATATTTACTAGCTGTGGAAAGAAAACTATGAATTCTTTCCCGACATAACTTCAGTGTATCAAGTATTTCGATATATCCCTGTTATCAGAACATGCAGTAGCTACAGACTGTTACAGGTTCTATAAATACATGAGTTTAAAGGTTCGTTAAGAAGTTTAGTATACAAAATATAAACATGTTTAATAAATGTAATGCCTTTAGAATTATTTGTCTACACATGTCTGTCTACAGATCCTCAGGATGAATACCTACATCTGTCTTGCCGTTTGCCTTGTTGCTGCTGTCTCAGCTGCTGGTATGTCTTAAAGAATTATGTCGAAAAGGTGTCTCTGTACATCTTTCCAAATCATTTCAATAATTATCCCTGCTACTTTCTGAAAACGTAATATAATTTGTGACATTTCAATTTTTATATTATATATTTCTCGATGATAAATTATATGCTGTAGCAAAATGTTTTAATTTATAATGTTGTGAAAGATTTTATAAGCGCCTCTCCCTTTATGTTAATATCTTTTTCGTAATGTTTAAAACATAAATGTTTAATTCTTGTGACCTTTTGTACTACGTATGCGTCCTAAATGGACGGAAACAAAATATATGTCTCAATACAATTATAACGCTGTTTGGCGTTATACGTAAACTGACTTGATATTCAGATTAGAGCTTTCTTAGTTCATCATTCTTATTCTTATTCCACAATATACCAAGAAATGGACATTCCACTAGTGTTGCCCTGTAAATTACGTCATCTTAACTACGGAGGCAACATCAAAACCAAGTCGTCCGTAAAGGAATCAAAACTAGATACGGTATCAGGACCGGAAAAGGGACAGAAAATATATAATAATACACAATATAGAAATAACACTTTAAATCCAGTCATATTCGTTCAAGGCGTGTAAGGCGATGGTCATCATTTTGAACGCCGGTGTGTTGAGAAGTACATCTCCTACACACGTTTTCAGACATCTCAATGTGTTTTTTTACATAAATGTTTGTTTATCATTAGGAGGCAACTAGTAAAATAACAAAAAATGAAAATGCATATATTTTACATAAATATTAATTTGAACACAGGTATTTAGTGCAGCATTGTCCAATTCACTTTACAGAAATATGTAAAAAGAAATGCAATTGACATAATTATATGGTTTGGATTGAAAAACTGAATAAAACATCTCACTCTGTGTCATAGGATATGGTGGTGGATTTGGAAGCATGGGCGGTACTGGAGGAGGAAACGGAGGTGGCATGAACGGAGGTGGATTCGGAGGTATGGGTGGAGGAAACGGTGGATTCGGAGGAATGGGCGGTGGAATGGGAGGACAAGGTGGATTTGGAGGAAAGGCAGGCGGAAAAGGTGGATTCGGAGGAATGGGTGGTACTGGAGGAGGAAACGGAGGTGCCATGAACGGAGGTGGATTCGGAGGTATGGANTGGGCGGAGGAAATGGTGGTTTTGGAGGAATGGGCGGTGGAATGGGAGGACAAGGAGGATTCGGAGGAAAAGGTATATGAAGAAAATAGAAGAAATCCTTTTGTTTCATGTTTTTTTATTTTAAATAGAAAACTGCTACAAGAAACTACATGTGTATCGCACAATAAAGAAACAAGATAATATCTTAACAACAAATCTCATCAGTTCAAATCCATTTAACAGTTTTTAAATGACTTAATTACACGTTCTGTGCCGGTTTGCAGGAAACTCTATAAGTGTACTAGGAAAATAAATTATCTCTTTAATTATTGTAAATGTAACGTTATGACGTTTGACGTTGAGTATCGCTAATGTGTTCTTAATTGACAAAATAGCCAGTAAACATTCCCTTGATTAATGTTTAAATGAGTACTTTCTGACCGCAAACTTATTGTGACAATTGTTTCGATTATATTTTTTAACTGTTAAGTGCAACTAATATTATTTATTTATTTTTCAGGATATTAGATCCAGCTGATCCTGTTAACCTTGCATTACATGTAAATGATGCCAAATTATTAAAAATTGAATAATGCAATTCATTTAATCTTTATTAATCATTTTGCATGCTCATGTTACACATAAAAATATATGACCTGCCAATATAAGCAATATTTCTGATCGTACATTTAAATATCAATAGCAAAAAATCAAGTATTAAACATGTCAATTCAAATGACTTCCTAAGTGAGCTAGAATGAGAATTAATGGCCTCTCCATCGTGTTACCGGTTTCATCTCAGATTGAAGGGAAGTAACTCATTTATATGCACCACTAGGAAGCGCAGTATGACATCGCAGTACATAGGTTTACTTTGCTTACTGTTTATTTATTTGATGAATGACATCAGATCCGTTGAAAATGGTATTAATTTAAGAAGCATAGAGTTAAAACTGAGGTAATAACTTAGGATTCATCCTCAGTGTCATACAAATGACAAATTATTCCTCATGAAGACATTCCGTTACAATTAAAAAACACAACAAAAGACATTTTTGCTGATGAATAACGTTGTGACCAACGCTGGCTATATAAATCTATTCAATATTTTGTCAGTACAATTAAGTCGAACTTATATTCTCTGTTTAAGGAGACTGACACTCCATATACTAAGCTACACTCCATTTTATAAAACCAGTAACGTTTTTTCATGTGCAAAAACGATATTCTTACCCAGACAGTTTCGTTGACATTCTGCCAGGACGTTAGTGCTGTATGGGTAAGAACATTGTTTTGACATAGCAGTGACTTATTTATAATACCTGTTCAAAACAAAATAGGAAAATAAAACAAATATTTCAACAAAAGGGTACATGAAAGAACACCTAGGTTCAGTTTTTGTATTTCTTGTACCCATGAATTATGCTCATAATTTGGGCGGAAATCGGAATTAGAAACGGTGATTCGCTGTTACCATAACAGGGAGAAATACGCACTACAATTCAGTATAATAAACAAACGCACAGAAACATCAATAAATAAACAGATAGGTACTTTGTGCAAACTACGATCGCCTGGTTGATAAGATGACAGTGTGTCGTCGCAAAGAGAAATATCTGAATTACCCGTTATCGAGCATTTAAATTATTTCTATTATAGGATAGGGGACGGAGGTTTCCTTGTAATGGTTTACTGAGCGATGTTCACCTGTCGGCTTTCGTTTGTTCATTAACCACATACAGCTCTGGGATGTGTTATATAGCGGTAGTGGGATGTTCAGCCACTATACAATACACAAGCAAAATCTAGTTTCTGTTTGTTAGGGAATGTTTAAATGAGGACCATTATTTAACAAAACAATACATAACACTGAATCCTACATGTACAAGGAGACTTTCAGCCCAATAAGTCTGTTGGTTTAAAATCCATTTTCTGTGTCAAATTGTTCATAAAATGTAAGTAAGCTTTCTATCAATAGACCTATGATCACAGTAAAGATGGATTGTCATGCTTCATTTAAAAGTAAATTTTAGACCTATGGTATACATGCCAGAAATGGAGGATATCGAAATTATATCATAGAGCTGCTAGATCAGATGTTAACACATACACACTTTGTCAAACAGGAAATGAACGAGTGTTTTGTGTTTGTATGGGTCCTAAGTTTAATGTGATATCCTGTTTAATGATATCACCTTCGGCCTAGACGAAAGTGAAAAGAGATATATGTCGAGCTGTGATGTTATGTAGAAGTCAAATACAACACTTACTATGTGTTCTTTTATAATGGTGTTTATTTTGACCTAAACGCCGCATACCCATTTAATTTGATTTCTTCTTCTTTTTTTTACTGCAGAAAAAGATGACTCCTAAAACAATACCAGTGCTTAATGTATATGTCTTATTATCTCTTCTTCAGTTAAATCAAAACAATATTTCGTATTCCTAATCCATAATACCATTACTACCTCCATATTAAAAATACATAACATATATATGTAGTTATTATGTTTAAGTCATCAGACATTTCAAAAACTTAACCTATACTTCGTCTCTTCAAGTTTATGCTTTTCATTTTAAGATTCGTCCATTCTAATAGACTTACATTTTAAGTGAGTTACATGTTCATGAATTAAGCAAAAGCGATATCGTTTACTGTTTAGCTCAATCCTACATCCGAAAATAAAATGTTTATTACTCAACATGAGACGTTTTAACCTACTTTTTATCCGGGATTCTTGTTAAAATCAACAGTAATGTTGAGAACGAATAAAATAAATGGTCTAGGTAACAAACAAATAAAATGAACTGATTTGAAAACAGTAGAAAGTAAAAAGCAGCATTGCTTCATAATTATCTAATTTCGCAGAAAGATTTTAAGTGTAGATTGCATTTTAGTGTCAAACATTTTTTCGTAGATGAAAATGACAATTAAAAAGGACATCATATGTACCACTGAGATTACGTCACGTCTCATCACGTCAGTTAACAAAATACTGAATATTTTAACTGAAACGGTTTGTTTAATATACATTACCTAGTTACGATTTAGATCAATGAGACTGTCGTGTAATTCATGGATTTTCCCATTACTGTGTATTACAGGATGACATCGGTTGACGTTCTGAAACATGACATAATTCCAATTTGAAACGTGACGTCATTAAATTGACGGCATATGATATAGCCTTACGGAAATAAACAATTAATAAATAAAATTGCAGTAAAACCTTTGCAAATATGTTCTTTCTTAATTTGTTTGTTATCTTTTTGTATTTATACTCTAAATACATTATATCAAGAAATAATCGTACCATAAGTACATGTGTGAGTTTGAGTGTTTGAGCATGTGCATGCGTACGTGTTCGAGCATCGTCCATCCGTCTATCCATGGGTGGATGAGTGCAAGTGTGCGTTTTTAATCTAATGTGTTATTCAATAGATTAATAGGTTTCAATTTCAATTTTCACCTACTGTAAATAAAGCTTAAACTTTATCTGATTCAAATTACTAAGGTAGTTAAGGTGTCAGCAGTCTCGAGGAATTATTTTCCTATAATATATACTTGGGAGAGGAATTAATATCAGCTCTAAGCTTGTTTTCCAATCCCTGTGTAATGTTATATATGTAATTAACATGTTTGACCATTAAATAAATACTGTTTAAACTAAACTATATTCTATATCCGCGATATTTTACCATATAATGTCATTGTTATTAATCTCCTGAATTTGACCTTGCGTCTTTTATATAAACCTCTTTCTACAACACAGTATAGACTTTCCCATTTGTGCTGATTTTACAAATCATTCACAAAGAGACTGTTTTATCTAACGTTATTTCCGTCCCGTGTTGCTTGGTCATTAAAAAATATGTCAGTACGCCTTAAAAACATGTTTAACGCATAACGTAGAGTGAGTAATATAGTGCAACACAATGTTTCATAAAAGTCTGGTTATCTTCATAGGACGCTAGCCTTTATCACGTCCGAAATTGTTACTCTACAAGGAGAAAGAAAAATGAAAAATATAAAATTATAAACAAACAAAAATTATTTAAATTTTGATTAGATATTAAAGATAATTTCTTAGTTTTATCATTTTTGGCACTTTTTCCAAGGCATCGTTTCGATCGCTTTACTAGTATTTTGACAGCAGTAATGTTACTATGGTATAGTGATATAAGTTATTGCCGAATTACATTTATGTCTCGTTCTCATTGTTCTTATACACTTATAAAAAAAATGTTTAAACATATTTTTAAAACAGAAGGGAAAAAAAAAGAGAATTCTTAAATATACCAAATAAGACTTAGAAATAAGAAGTGATTGTGCTTGGATTGTAAATATTATCATAAAACAAAGAAGGACCATCAATGTTACTTGATATGAAATATTACTATTGGTATTCAAATGTACATTCTTCTAATAAGGTAAGGCGTCACTATTAATGTCGACAATGATAATATTTGTTTCAGCTGGTTGTGTTAATGAAACAAAACTAATTAACATTGTGTCCTAAAAATGTTGATGTTACTCTATCCGTTTTATAAATATATACATAACAAATACATTCAATATGAATTTGAGATAATAATAATATATGTGTAATCCGATTACCTTTAATAAAGAAATGGATACATTCAATATCAATTAGGTTAATAGGATTTGGCTTCAAATTACCTTTAATAGAGAAAAGGAAATCATATTTCGTTATTCAATCATGTTGTTTTGAATCGAGAAGTGACCGAGCGAGCGTTTACCTAGGAACATCCGCGCGTGACCTCATCCCGTACACACTTGAGCGGCTAGTATCACCCCTCTCTTTAGTCAACACCTTTACCTGACATTTCCTTTATGGTTAATGCATGTCAGATACAATGTTAGTTCGGACTGATTTAAAACTTTATTACCTTCCCATCAAACGGATCACGTCGATGACCCATGTAGCCGTTTTATCCTTACATGGTTGTGGTCTGCGTGAATGTTGCCTTGAGTTCCGCAGGATGAGTATATAAGACCCGGGTTTTGCTCCACAAATCGTACCACACTGCCACCGAAGCCGACCAACAACCCACCAGCAGCTCTACAGCTCGTCACAAAAAGGTAAGTCCAGCTTCACTTTAAATTTTTATTCATCGTTAAGTGTTTTCCATAGTGTTATGCAACGTACTTTCTTGCCTCCTGACCTGGTAACTTCATAATATCTTGACATCTTTAAAACCACTCTCTAATCCATTAGTATCTCATACATACGACCAAACATCCTTCTTTTGCAATGCACACACTTTCACAACCCTACATTGATATGATGAAGAAGGTCAATTATTCGGTGGGCCATATAGAATTGTTTTCTTGTTATCTCAGCCAAGCATATCTACAGTCATCGCAATTTTTTTAAATTAATTTATTTGGAATGTTTTATTGTTCACGCCATTTACTTCGAGTCTAATCTTAAATATTTGCGAAGGCAAAACCCTTATCCGTCATATACCTGTGGCATTTGGTGGGCCTAGCGTTCAATTCATTTGTAAACGCGGTTTTATTCCTGAAATAAAGAAGTCTTTATCACGGCAAAGCCCTTGTTGAAATGTCGCTGATGTTATATATATATATAAATGTATTTCTGATCAGTAATGGCTGTTTTATACTAGAATAAAGAGTGTTACACGAATGGCTGTTTTCTATATTTACGATTTCTTATCTGGTAACACTACAGATCAAACTTTCTACGTGTTTTTATTTCTCCACAAAAATAGCAATGCATGAAAGGAAAGCTGTATATTGTATGTATTCAAAATACTTCTGAATCAAGCTATACAATCAGATACACACAGCGTAATTACAAAAAGATTCATAAAAAAGTAATGTTGAGAACATTCGAATTACATACATAAAAGTAAATGAGACATATTCATTTTCAAGCTAAACATTCAATATCGTAAGGTATCTTTAAAAGAACAAAAACAAAAATCCCGTCATGTATCTATTTCACACACTTTATATCTGTATCTGTATGCATTGATAGTGATTGAAGTAACAAGTTTTCAATCGAATCATATATATTAATATTATATATTTCAATTGACGAATCAACTTCAAATATTGACTGTTGGTACCTTGTAGACCTTCAAGATGAACGCTTACCTATTCGTTTCCATGGCGTCTGCCATTGTTGTCGCTACCAACGCGGCTGGTAAGTAGACAATCGATAACTGATACAATGATGCAAATAGTATGACAACTTAGTTTCCTTAAAAATAATATTTCATATACTGTCGTATGGTAAAGTAGATTTTAAGAAAAAATACATCAACTCTATGCTGACATTTAGCAGGAAATGCTTAATTCGTACTCAAACAAATAATGCAGATCAATGAAATTCTGTGACATTAAGTTAATACGCTGAGAGAAGCAGATATCACATTAAAATACATTGGAAATTTTACAAAGATAAAAAAAAACATGTTGATAAGTAAATAATTAAAAACATCAAATCTTTTGCGACGTGTGGTATAGAAACACTGACCCTTCCGGAACGTCTGGTTCCGTCTTTAGTTCATAGGTTTGGAATTAAGACGTCTGTCCTTTTGTTTTGGTGTTCCCACAGTTCTTGATTTCTATTTTTGTATTCGAGTTTTAATTTCGTCATAGTTTATCGACGTTGTGGTTTCATTTTCTATTTTACTTTGTTGTAATGTTTTGATGATTTTATTTTATCTATATTTTTTGTATTTTTTGTATTTTAAATGCTTTTTCAAATTGAAGTAAATTTAAGGACCCTAGGAATAAGGTTTAAATATCATTATTTTTCAAAATGTTTTATAGCTATTTCGGTTGAAAGATTTTAATGAATTATTTTTGGAAATGTCTTTAAAAAACTAAGTGTTAATGTAAGTGTATAAGGAACCTAGGTATATGGGTTTAGATATCATAATATTAATTTTCAAAATGTTTAATAGCTATTTAAGTTAAAGATATTGAAATAAATAACAGTTAGAAACATTATGTTGTTATGTTTTTAATAAATTTATTTTTGGAATGTCTTTGCAAAACTAAATGATAAAGTCAGCTTATGGAACCTAGGAAAATGGTTAAAATATCCTAATATTAATTTTCAAGGTGATTTTATTGCCATTCCAGTTGAAATACATTGAAATAAATAAAATATTAAGTAGTACTAGGTAGAATCAGAATATTTGTGATTTTATTAACTTCATACAGAGTTTCTCCATTCTTGGTGCATGGTATAATTAACAGTAAATACATCCTATAATAACGATTTGTTAGTGTAATATATTAATCATGTTATATCGTTAACAAAATATAACTTTGTATCACTTTATATCAATTAATATTAGGATATGGAACGATGAACAACGGTTACGGGATGAACAACGGTTACGGGATTGAACAATTAAAATATAAATAAAACATTAGGCTACTATAACGTTAAAAGTAGTCATTTTTCAAAAAAGGAAATCATAATTCAAATATAATTCAAAGATCTTAATGTTTTATATACATGAATAGCATGGTACCTCTGCAGACGATGATAGAATTTCAATGTTGTGAAACGTTGGTTTATATTTTCCTTCCTTATTTCTAGGTTACAAGCGTGATAAGTAGACATCGAATTTATTTTGAATATTTTTAGATTATCGTTTATTTATTACATAATTAATATATCGAACCCTAGAGTCATTATTCTAGTGGTATTTTAAACACGTACAAATGTATCATATATGTCTCGTGTAATGCAGTGAAGACCATATGTCATATGTAATATGCATTATACTTTTATACTTTCCAATTTTGACGTCAGAAAAAACATGATAGCATATACTTCAAGGTTGCCTCTTGATGATGACCAGATACAATAAATTATTTTCAGAACATTAGCATAAGTTCTGGGTTGTGTGAGTGCTAGACTCATTTGATAGTAGCATCCAAATTCAGAACACATTAAAGATCCTATATATATAGATGATGCTAAACTGTCACTATTTTATATTTTCAGCTGCCTATGGTATGGGAGGAGGCATTGGAGGAGGAATGGGCGGTATGCCTGGTATGGGTGGAATGGGAATGGGCGGTAAAGGAGGCATGGGCGGAGGAATGGGCGGTATGACCGGTATGGGAATGGGCGGTATGGGCGGTATGATGGGCGGTAAAGGAGGCATGGGGGGTATGATGGGCGGTATGCCCGGTATGGGAATGGGCGGTTTGGGCGGTATGATGGGCGGTAAAGGAGGCATGGGCGGAGGAATGGGCGGTATGGGAGGTATGATGGGCGGTAAAGGAGGCATGGGCGAAGGATTGGGTGGTATGATGGGCGGAAAAGGAGGCATGGGCGGAGGAATGGGTGGTATGATGGGCGGAAAAGGAGGCATGGGCGGAGGAATGGGGGGTATGCCCGGTATGGGAATGGGCGGTATGGGCGGTATGATGGGCGGCAAAGGAGGCATGGGCGGAGGAATGGGCGGTATGGGAGGTATGATGGGCGGTAAAGGAGGCATGGGTGGTATGATGGGCGGTATGCCCGGTATGGGAATGGGCGGTATGGGCGGTATGATGGGCGGTAAAGGAGGAATGGGCGGAGGAATGGGCGGTATGCCTGGCATGGGAATGGGCGGTATGATGGGCGGAAAAGGAGGCATGAGCGGAGGTATGGGCGGAGGCATGGGCGGAGGAATGGGAGGCATGGGTAAGCAATACCTTTGTTTTATTATTTTTATTTATTTTACACGAATTCAAAATATAGTAAATAAAAATTATTGTTCTGTAATTAAATATAGGGAATACATTAGTACATTTGTTTGATTCTATACAAACAGGACTTAAAATCGTATTATCACCATTCGTCCAAATGTTTTTTCACCATTTATAGCAGAATTTACAAAACGTATTCAGCTATTACAAGCTACAATATATTCAGTCAAGTTCGACGTTAAACAACCTCCTTGACTGACTTATCCACAAATCTCTATCTGGTCGATTCATAATGGTCTACCTGTGCTTTGAACGTTTCCGTTCAACTATTTTGCACAAATTTCGTTGGAGCATGGTAGACTTTACCATTCCTCCAAAACATAGTGAAGGTTATTGCCCTTGAAATTTTATCGTGTTTATCGCCATCAAATACCTCAATACCTGACTGCAAAATACAATGGCGAGTGTATTATATACCCGAGTAATTGAAAGAATCTTTTTCAACCTTTGTAATTCTAAAACAGCAATTGCCCAATGTAATTCAACTACATTAACAGTATCCCGGCTTTTCTCCAAATCACTCTATTACTAACATAACGTTAAATGCATTAATAAGGATTCAAATATTAAATTGATATTTATTAACCTGCATGTACACTTTTGATATAGACTGAATTGTTGTTGTTGTCGTTGTTGTTACCTCTTGCGTTGTCCCTCTTTTACAGGTGGACGATACTAGCCGGCTTAACCCGACCCACAACAAAGCTTGGTGTATCTGGATTAAAAACACAATCAAATGGAGAAATAAAATAACGGGTACTTGCATTCAAAATAATCTTTGTTACTTAATTCTTTCTGTCATGCTGTCACTTCCTCTGTCTTTCAAGTAAACTTTCTTCTGCATGAAGTTAATGATGGAGATTCAATATTCTCCAAACTCGTTGACTTCAGCTGAAGCGCGATGATTGGTGATAAAGATCGTGGAGAAGTTTATGTTTGAGGATGGTTTAGATGGAGATTCAATGTTTCTGCAGAAGATCACAAAATATTTCAGATTCTATATTTGATTGATGCTGATGCTTGCCTGAATTAGCAGTATTACGACATAGCTGACGTCTATTAATTTACCGATGCTAATACGAGTATTTATGGTTTCTAAAGACCTTTGTTTAGTGTTGAATGTGATAGACAGGTAAAATAAACTCCCTTGAACTTCTTTTTTTTGACCAGCAGTAGTAAAGCAGCACGTTCACAAACAGATAACAATATTGGCGCATAGAACATAATACAATATACAAAGACAGTGAGAGCAAGCACCATATAAAGCAACAAAACACAAAAAAAAATACTTAACAAAACTTAAAAGAAGAATGTAATATACAAACATAAAGTTTGAGAATAAATACACTGTATACCGGAAAACGTTAAATAGGTGTCCTTCACAGGTAAAAGTTATATTCTCCTAGTGTTAATTCCGTCTTTGCGTATTGCAGAGTTATCTTCTCTTGTGAGCAGGTATTTAGTGTTACGTCATTGGTTTGTGTGAGAAAATTACGTCGTTTTCTCAAAAATTGATGACGTTACTCTCACAAACAAATGACGTAACAATCAATACCTGCTCACAAGAGCAGATAATTGTACAATACGAAAAGACGGAATAGCGCCCTCCGTCTTGTAATTACTATATAAAGTCTGTTGTGTACAAGTATTCTCTGTCATGATAAATTCGCCCTCATAGCAGAGGGCGATACAGGGCCAAATTGATACTGCGGCGAAATTGTTCTGGTATACAACAGTATACCGAAATATACTGTCACATAGAACATCATCAAACATCATAGTTAAAAATTAACTCTTATTTGCTCTAATATAATGTAAGTACAGGTACAGTAGGGTCACCAAGATTAAAATAAGAGCGTAACAAAATGTAAAATGAATATATGCTAATATAGCAAAAGGTAAGAGGTCAAATACATACATAAATATGGCGCGAGCTAAAATAATATGAAGGTCTGTGTCAACTGGACTAGTTTGAACAAAAGTTCACGAGGTATGCCAACTCGTGAAAACACCTTTATAAGTGCTTCCGCTACAGTCTCTGCCTCCTGGTTCCTTAGAGGAATAGCTTCCGGATACCTAGTGGCGTAATCAAAAATTACTAAAATATGACGGTTTCCTTTGAGTGTGCGAGGTAACGGTCCTACAAAAGCAATGGCTATTCTTGGAATGGCTCCTCCTTAACAGGGACTTCGAACATAGGTACATATCCAACTTTACCCCCTTGGAATTCCTATCTGACACTGAGGGCATGATCTACAATATCGTGCAACTGCAGTAAACAATCCTGGTCAGAAAAAATGTTGAAGTAGTCTTGCCCGCATTTTCTTACAACCAAGATGACCCGCTAGTGGAATACCATGAGCTATAGACAGCAGAACACTCCTCCATCTCTTTGGAACAACGACTTGTTTCACAATCTCTCCTTGATCTGTCTGGAAAATACGATATAAGATTCCATCTTGATAAGTAAAATAGGATTCAGCCGACTCCTGAGTAGTTTTCCTTCTCACCTCTGTCTTTTGATCCACTAAACTTTTCACTTTAGTAAGTGTGCCATCTGACTCCTGTTCCTTCACTAACTCATTTTTAGTAAATAATGAGTCATCCCCAGTAAGTGGGTAAGCGAGTGGTTTCGAGTCAACATTTACCTCCGAAACTTCTAATTACTATCATCTCTCTGCTATTGCTCAAGACGTTTCTGTTTTTGAGCTCGAGTTTCTATTGTAGAACATTTTACTGGTTCCTTTTCTGTAGATGCTGTAGATACAGGGGTTTTAAGTTCTACTTGGTTCCCTATTACAATGTCTGCAAACGGTGTGTCCATCACTAATGCCAGCATGTTACCACTTAGATAAGGGGAGGTAATCTCTATCCAAACTTCTGCACATGTCCGTTTTGTGCCATTAGCTAACAAAACATCCTTAAAATGTCCATTCTTATGATAGTTCTCAGCAAGTTTTGATGAAACAAATACAGCACTACTACCAGTATCTCTTAACACAGTTGCTTCTTTCTCACCAACTCGTCCTTTCTCAATCCTTAGACCTTTATTTTCCACTAAATCTGTTTCTGGTACTGAACATCTTTTAGTGACAAGTTATCTGAACTACCACTCCACCAGATACTTCCATTTTTTCCTGACGAATCAAAGCCAAATTCTCTGGTTTCCTCCCATGACCTTGACCTCTAATATTTACAGATCCCTGTTTCGCCATAGAATTCGGCCTTTTCCAACACTCTGCTATAATATGTCCTTTAATCCCACAGAAATGACAAGTTCTGTTCTCCCTAGACTGGTTCCCCATTTGACCATTTCCTTTTAGAGGAAACCCTTTAGATTTTCCACCACCATTAGATCCTTTGTTGTCTTGTTTCCCAGTGAAAATGGTTTCACCATGTGCTACTTGATACATTTAGGCTTCAGCCATTTCCACTATTTCATTTACTGACTTTGGTTTTCTTTCCTTTATCCACTCCTGTAAAGGTGATGGTGTATTCCTCATTAGTTGTTCACGGAGAATTAGGTCGTACAATCCATTGAAGTCTGTAATTTCCACTGTTTCCAGCCAACGTTTCATGTTAAGCTCTGCCTTAACCCTATACTCTTTATAAGATTCTCCAGACGTTTGCACAATATTACTGAACTTTGCTCGGTATGCCTCTGCTGTGAGCTTGTAACGTTTCAAGATACTCTTCTTAATTTCATCATAATTATTGCTTTGATCCACAGGTAAACATGAGTAAGCTTCCAATGCTTTTCCAGATAATAATGGAACCATTCTCACTGCCCACTGTTCTTTATCTCATTTGTGTAATGTTGCCAACCTCTCGAATGATGTTAAGAAAACATCCACATCTTGTCCTTCAATAAACTTTGGTAAGTTCAATTTAAAGTTAGTAAATTTAGATACAGCTTGTTGTGTTTCAACTCTAGTCTGTTCACCTTTCTCCACCTCCAACTTAACTTGAAGTTCGATTTCTCTTTCCTTCACTTGAAGTTCTTATGTTCTCATATCACGCTCAAATGCTTCCTGCTCCTCAGCGCGCCTATCTGTCCGTTCCTGACGCTCCACAGCAGACAAATCCCTCCACAATGTCAAACAAGTCTCCATACTCTGACCTTTTCCAACCATCTCATGCACCCAATCTGGGAGCTTCGACATTTTGAAACCAACACTAAAACACCTAATAACCTTAATTGATTACAACTCACCTCACTACTAATGTGCAGATACCTGTATATCTCCCACAACTTCACTCAATTTGACCTAGGGTACCACAAAAATGCAAATCTACAACAGAATATGCATAAATAAACCTCAGGCACCCATACAAACAATACTGTACAAACAACTTTTCTTATGTACAATATTCTTAATTAAATTTAAATTTATTACAAATATATACTGCTTGCAATTTTTTCAATATATCTCTGATCAATTTAAACCATCCCCACTGCTGCCACCAATAATGTCACGAAGGTCTGTAGTCATGGTGCCTGATAATGTATAAAGTCAACAAAGATACTGAGTTCATGGTCCATTTTTATTACCTAATAATAATACATATAATCAATCCCACACATACCCACTCACTCACTGTAAATACAAATATAGTTTATCAAATATGTAGAATGACAAAAGACCAAGGCAAGTTAACCTTGGCAAATAATGTTCATAATTATAAACTGTAGAGTTAATTCTCCACAAAATCTGCAATGTCCATCCACTTGGTTAGGTAAAGTTCAGTAGGTAAAACAGCCCTGTACTATGGTACTGTTCAACCAACGAAAGTTCTCTCCACTGTACTCCCTAATAGTACTGTTCACTTCATAATGTTCATGTACCCCTCGGTGGGTTAATTCACCGTTAAATACAGTATAATTATTACAGGTTAATATATATACTCAGTATTACCTTTCTGATATATACATGGACACATATTACTTCCATAAATCAGTTTATAATAGACACCGGACTATTATACACCAGCTATGGTACACAAAATACTTCACTATGTCCACCCGCCACATCACTTCCGGTACCCTGTGACCTCGAAAGGATTCCACCACACAACAGAATCCCACACGTGACCTTCACCTCACGGCACTAACTCTGCCACATCATCATGGCACATATCTCGGCGACACTAAACTCTAGACGCCAACACTGCATGCCCTAGTCCGAATTATTCTGACGTTTTATCGACTTTTTTCATATCGGTCTGTCGTCGATTAACGTCAGAACTCCGGCCCTCTATAATATGCGGGAAATATGCGACCCGCGCCCGGAGCGCACTTCAAACTGATATTTTAGAAACAAATCGTCACTTTCACTTTCAGTTTTCTCTCCTAACAAAAGAGCTCCACAAGGGACTTAACTCTAGCAAAGTACTGATCCCAACTTTTAAGGTGTAACACCACTAACAACTACATCACACCATTTAAAACTAAAAAGGATAATAACAAAATTAATAAAATCATACAAAACAGCAAACAGCGTACAGAAAAGGAACATAAGAAAGAAGTCAAAGGAGAACAAAACAAAAGAACCAAAATTAAACAAAGAGATACATCAACACTTACATTTCCCGCAAATAATGCTTCTAGGTTTCTCGCAAATAATAAGCCTTACGCTACTCCCAAACAAAGATGACTACGAGTGGAACTTTTTGTAGAAAATATTGTTAAACAACGACGTATGTGTTTGATGACGACTCTGGACAATAAAACATCATGAAGAATTTTGATATATTTATTA